GGCACATCCCTATTCAGGGGTCGCCACAGCGAGTCAGTAATTTCCATCCGCCCCTGTAAACCGTCCTACCAACTCGCATGGACGTCTTGGCAAAAGTTTTACGCCGGATGCCATTCCTGACGCAACCCTCCCCATTTCTCCGGGCTTGGGACCGGCACTGGGGAACAGTGCACCCCCAGGGGAGGGCACTGCCCCCCAGCGGCTGGGTTAACCACATATATGCACTTAAAGAGTAAAATTAAATATTGTTTATCTCCTTCTGAATGTCCTCTTCCACCTGCTTGTACAAGGCTGGAATGGGTAGAAAAAAAAGTCGTGTGTTTCCGGTAACTCGACCGACCGAGAATTTCTACGTCGAAAAAAAACTTTACGGTCGGCATTTTTTTCAAACAACCCTCTACATTTTTGTGTAGAGGGTTTACATCAGTGCAAACTCTCGCTATATTCACGTTGAGCGCGTGCGTCGTTTGCCCTGTCGTCTGTCAACAACATTGAAACATGGTGGTGGTCGCGATCTCTGACGACAGTTTAAACCATGTTTTCTGTGTTACAGTCGCGTGCTCGCACCGTAATGTTAAGAAAATAGCATCCATTGATGTATGGAAAAAAATAAAGCAAACTATTTGATGAACACCACGTGCCGAGTAAAAACCGAGGACGGAGGAGGACGGAGGAGGACGGCGGAGGCGGTGGCGCGCCCCGACCCCCGAGTCCGGAGCGGAGAGAAAACTAATAGGCGGCGGTGCCGCCGGCCGCGGAGCGGCGGGTTCAATGTCTTCTTGTTTTATGGTTATTTTGGTTAAATTTTTGATGGGGGAAAAAAAAAGATTCCAAAAAAAAAAAAAAACTTTGTCCGACCTACCGACCCTGTGCTGAAATTTCTTTTTACCGGAAACACACTATCTTTTTTGTTTGGCCTCATGAAATATGTGAGGCGTTGTGACAGGTTGAAGGCATTTGGTGGGCTAGTTATGTTTTAAATGGACTTTGAGGTTTGCTGTGCTGCGACTTTCTTCATACAAATGCGACATACCAGGTTGGTGTTTGGTGATCTGGCTGGAATCCAAAATGTTTCCGTGTTGATATTAACCTTTGGAACTAGTTGCCGCTCAAATACCTGTAATTGTGTAATGACAGGCGTCAGAAAACAGCTTCGATTACCTTAATTCTTTCTTTCTCTGTGACTCAGTGCTGTTCGCACCATCTGTAGGTGTGTGTGTTTGTGTGTGTGAGTCCCGCCTCCCACAGCGGCGAGCAGTTTGAGTGACACGAGAGGGAATGAAGCAGCGCAACTAAATGTTGATGACCTGTGCAAACAAACATGCATTATAATGAGAATTGATTGTGTCTGGAGGAAACTGTCGTGTCCTTTTTATTTCTTGAACGATGAGTCGATATTATTACCATAGTCTAACGAAATGAAGAGATGCCAAAAACATGTGATTTGCAATTACTTGACGTCGAGCTTTAAATGCAGTAGAAAATCCGATTTGTCGACTAATCGGTTTCACCTATAGGGTGAATCAATTACAAAACCCTTGGCTAATTATGCATGAGAAAACTAAACAGATTCTGTGCCATATTCCTTTTTTTGTGTGAAACTGACCTTAATTTCCGCCCTATAAGGCGCTCCTAAAAACATTCATTTTTCTCAAAAGCTGAATGGGCGCCTTATAATCCGGTGCGCCTTATATATGGATCAATATTCTGATTGCTTGGACGTATTTTTGTAAAGTGCTTTGCTACAGCTGCAGCGGTTGTGAAAGCTCTATATAAATAAAGCTGTAGTGTATTGTATTCCCTTTATTGTAGCTCCATCTAGTGGATGCATAATGTAAACGCAGACATTATTGTAGGTTTTATTTATGTATCTGAAAACAGTTTTAAAATAGGCTATCATTGTATTGCTGATACACTAAGCGCCTCATAGTGCGGAAAATACGGTAAAACTATTAAGACATTACATCAGATCATAATATTTACATAAAATGCAAAGTATCTGCTGATCAGGTGGGTGGAAAATGTTGTAAATGGCTGTCAGTGACCCATCTCGTGTGTGCATTCAAGATATGTTTGATTTACCATCTCCTTGGTGTCCGTTCAATGTCTGGTCAAACCCTACAATCCATAAAAGTTGTTGTGGTTGCCAGGGGTGTCTGTGTCAGGGATGCTGATAGTTCTGTGAAAATAAATCCTTTCTGGGGTGCTAGTTAAAAAGTGTGCAGTTAAATGTTTGCTTTCGTAGAATCCTATTGTTCATGCAATGCCAAAAAATAAATCTGTTATTTTCTACTTTATGTATGTTTAATGTATAAAGTTTCGATATTTATAGGGCAGTTTATTCTTCAAGTAGAGAAGCAACCAAGTTGGCCTACACCACACCCACACAGTCATTTCGTTTGGGATCCCTTGCTGACACATTTAAATTTATTAATATCGAGATGTACAATTGGCTAGCGGCCAGTCCAGAGTTTTCCCCCCCCCCGCATCTCGCTTGAAGTGAGCTGGGATTGGCTACAGCACTCCCACGAACTGAATAAAGATAAGCAATATAGATGATGAATGGATAACATGAGATTTTTTTTTTTTTTGTTTGTTTTGCTTATTTTTGAAAACAACTGCAGAGACGGGCAAGGCGGAAGAATTCATGCACAAATGAGCAACTGTATGAGAAGTTATTGAAATGAAAGGAAAAAAAATCACTGTTATCCGTGCACCCTCGATGTTGTGTAAAAGAAATGACACAATAAACATGTTCATGCCAAAAACATTGCAGTCAGTTTTTTGTTTTGTTTTTTGTTTTGAGCGTTAGTCTAAAATTCAAACACTGACAACATTTCTTAACGTGCGCCGAGAGAACCTCAACCGGCAGCTGTTGTGTGCGCGCATGAAAAGGACTCTTGGCAAATGATGTGCACCATATTTTCCGGACCATAAGTAACAGTTTTTTTTTTTTCATAGATTGGCCCGGGTGTGAGACTTATGTGTGAAATGATTCACACATTCGTACATAATTTCACGTTATTTTCACATTAAACCGCAAGAGGGCGCTCTAGGCCTGTGTTGATAAGTCGAAAATGAGTCTGACGTAAGCGACGTAGAATAGGAAGCGCCACATCTTCTACCTCCAGAGTTGGCAGAGTTGTTTCAAACAGACACTGAGGATGAAGATTTCATTGGATTTCGTGATTTGGAGAGACACTGATGATTTGGTAATCTTGTTAGCATGTTCTTTATGCTATAGTTATCTGAATAAGTCTTAATATGTTACGTGAACATACCAGGCACGTTCACAGTTCGTTGTTTATGCGTCATGTAACGTTAGCATATCATACACTTATTCAGCCTGTTCTCTATTTTTCGTTTTATTTTCCTTTCAAGATGACATGTCTGTTCTTGGGGTTGGATTTTATCACGTAAATTTACCCCCAGAATGCGACGTATACTCCAGTGCGACTTATGTATGTTTTTTTGTTCTTTATTATGCATTTTATTGCTGGTGCGACTTATACTCAGGAGTGACTTATAGTCCGGAAAATACGGTACCTGATACCTTGAAATACGGATGGTATCAGGGCAATACCACATATTGGCACTCGCCCATACTTAATATTACTAAATGAAAATATTAAGTATATGTGAGGTTTTTATATATATATATATATATATATATATATATGTGTGTGACGGGGCTCACAACTGTGATGTTCTCAAGCTCCACGTCGCTGTCGCTTCAATGAAACCAGACGAGTGGAGTGTGGCTTTTCTCTCTTTTTTATTACTGAAACACAGTATAGCAGGGAATGGTGAAGTCACGTTTGGTGTCGGACATAGCATGTGACTTCCCTGGCAGCTCTGCCTGAACTCTACATCATCTTAGCAAGAGAAAATAAACAACAAGACCAAATACAAAACATGGGTGATCGTATAGTGATTATTTACAAAAAAAAAGGAAAAGATGCACACACACTGCAATTTACGTGATGCCGCCGAACGCATCACACGCGGCAGAATGGCTGCGCAACGCACAACAATGGCGGGTGCGACGAACCGCGGACACACGCCAGCAACAAACACAAACCGCCACGTGAAGGACGACATGAAAAACTATATACAATACAACCAAAAGGGAAACAAACATTACCTGAAACACAGTATAGCAGGGAATGGTGAAGTCACGTTTGGTGTCGGACATAGC